ACTGTAATTCATTAAATTTTAATTAATTCATCGTAATCAATATTAGAATTTTGATTTTAAAATTATAAGAATTATAAAATTTTAAATTAATCATAAATACTTACAGGAAGTTTACTAATTTAATTTTGGAGACTATTTAAATCTTTTGAAAAGCCAACTATTCTATAGATTATAGAACAAATTATTCTATAGATTTTACAAATTTCAACTTAAGAATTTAGATTCCAAATCAACTCTTTGCTTTTAATATTTCTAGAGGACATAAATTAATCCAGACTTCGAATCTTTCCTGTTACCTCAATTAAATTATGTTTGAATGACGTCATTTAATATCTGCGGATGTATTTTCAGGTCATTATAGTCTAGCATTCCATGCAAGTCCCTTTAGTCTGAGCAAAATTTTCGCCTATTCTCTTAATATCTAGCCTGTTCATTTAATCCAGAATAATCCCATCTTTAGTCTTTAATCTTCAGGATGAAAGATTGTTTGAAGCTCTTAAATTGTAGTAATTTTAAGATCAGAATTCAGGAAATAAATGTATTGTTTGAAAACTGAATTTATTTCAGAAAAGCTTTGTAAGAAAAGCTTCAGAAAAGCTCAAATATTTCTAAGCACATTGTGAATTTTCGAGGAATCTAATGTGCTTATTTTTCATTTGTATTCAATTAAATATTTAGCTAAATTGCAAAATTGAATTTATCGACATTTATATTTTGAGATTAAATTCAAAGTTTAAATTCTGAAAAACAATTATGCATATTATTGGTCGTAAATTAATATAAATATCGAAATCTAAGGAAATACACCGGTTTTATAAGGACTGGAAACATTAAAATCTATTTTATCGTCAGAGAAACGGAGAACGGTTAAAAGTTGATTATTAGAAACACCAAGTTTCATTTATCAATCAAGCAGGTTTTGATTGTTTACAATATCATTTTCGTTAGTAGTGATTCGTTCGATTTTATTAGTATTTTTGTTATTTCTGAGCTAAAATGTTAAAAGCAATTATCACGGAATACCCTGTATAAACTATTTGTCAGGACTTTTTGTTTTAAGATTTAATTCAATTTTTAAAATTTAATTTATTCAAAGATATAAGTTTAGAAAAATCTGAAAAATATCGAGCTATTCGAACGAAATATTCGAAAGAATGCTTCTTTCGAATCTTCGAAACATGTATAAAATTTGAGCATTTTTGAAAATTACTTGAATCATTAAATGAAGTTCTCGGGCGATATAGTGATAAGTCTTAATGTTTCAAAAGTTGAGTGTTATACTGTTTCTTAGTATTATTTCCAAATAGATACATCCGTAATTTCCTCTCAATGACAGTTTTCATACGCATATTAGTGACATAAAAAAAGGAAGTGCTTTTAAATTAATGATTTAGTCCTATTGCCTATGGAAATTTCAAAATAAACATGCCCAATAACCATCGATACTATTTTAAAACAGTGTAAAAAAAAAGATTTGCTGACATTTTCCTGTGTAAAAAAGGCCACAGAAATAAAATAACTTTGCAACAACTACTAGTAGGAGACCATACATAAAATTGGTACGAATTTAAATATTGTAAGAAAAGTTATATAATTGGACGATTTGTTATTGCGAAAACAAACGGGCATCCGGGTTAATATAAAGCATGTTTTATGACAAAGACTTTTAAAAATTTTAATTATGTATACCGGTTTAGTTCTGTAAATTACGATTTAGTTTATATCTTTGTGATAATTTTTAATATTAAAAGATTGTATCTTAATAAAAATATGATTTATACAAATCTAATAAGAACTTCATTAAACTGCAGTTACCACTTACGAAATAAATTGTGAAAGAAGTTACCAAATTTTCTCCATTTACTCAACTGAAATTAAAAAGAAAATTATCCTCTAATTTCACGAGTAAAATCTTTACAGGGAAAACTAGTTTGCACTTTTCAGGTGCAAAACACTGAATTGATTCTAAATTTTATTTTAATATTTTCTGAAACTACACCAAAACTTTTAGCATTTTATTTACAACTAACATTTCTTTAAGAATGTTTTAAAGTACAAAATTGGAGATTGAAGAGTTTTTAAACATAGAAATATGATTTATACAAATTTAATAAGAACTTCAATAAACTACTGTAAATTATTACCACTTATTACATTTTCTGGAAAGGAAGTTAACAAATTTTATCAGTTTACTCCACTGAAATTTAGAAGTAGAAAATTTATCCTCTAACTTCGTGAGTAAGAACTCTGCAGGGAAAACGAGTTTACACTTATCAGGGGCAAAACATTGAAAAGATTCTAAATTTTAATTTAATATTTACTGAAACTATAATAAAACTCTTAGCATTTTATTTATAGCTAGCTGTGTTTTTGAAGAATGTTTTAAGTACAAAATCTGCAGAAAATTACAGATTAAAAAGCTTTCAAACATAGAATATAATTCATACAAATTTTATAAGAACTTCAATAAATAACGGTCACCACTTATAAAATTTTCTGGAAAGGAAGTTGATAAATTTTATCAGTTCACTCCACTGAAATTTAGGAATCGAAAATTTATTCTCTGACTTCGTGAGTAAGAACTCTGCAGGGAAAACGAGTTTACACTTATCATGGGCGAAACATTGAATGGATTCTAAATTTTGATTTAATATTTTCTAACACTATAACAAAACTTAGTATTTTATTTATGACTAACGTTTTTGAAGAATGTTTTTGGTACAAAATCTGCTGAAAACTATGAATTAAAAAGCTTTCAAACATAGAATATGATTCATGAAAATTGTATAAATTACGGTCACCACTTATTAAATTTTCCGGAAAGGAAGTTAGCAAATTTTATCCGTTTACTCCACTGAAATTTAAAAGTAGAAAATTTATCCTCTAACTTCGTGAGTAAGAACTCTGCAGGGAAAACGAGTTTACACTTATCAGGGGAGAAACATTGAATGGATTCTAAATTTTAATTTAGTATTTTCTAACACTATAACAAAACTCTTAGCATTTTATTTATGACTAACGTTTTTAAAGACTGTTTTCGGTACAAAATTTGCAGAAAATTATGAATTAGAAAGCTTTCAAACATAGAAATATGATTTATGCAAATTTAATAAGAGCTTCAATAAATTACAGACATCGCTTAGTGTAAATTAACTATGAAGGAAGTTAGAAAATTTTCTCCGTTTACTTCACTGAAATTTAGAAGTAGAAAATTGTCCTCTAACTTCACGAGTAAAATTGCGGGGAAATCTAGTTTACATTTTTCAGGGACAAAACACTGAAAAGATTCAAAATTTCAATTTAATACTTCCTAAAACTGTTACAAAACTTTTAGTATTTTATTTACAACTAAAATGTCTTAAAGAATATTTTTAAGTATAAAACCTGCAGAAAATTAGAATCTAAAAAGTTTTTAAAAATAGAAATTTTTATGGAATAATACACACTAGTTAAAGAGCTTAGGAAGAATGCATTATATTTCAATGAACTTTATACATTTTAATGATAATTAAATTATATCAAATAATGAATCAAAAAGCTTTATATCAGAAACTTGTTTACAATATCTTTTTTCCCAATGAAAACAGTTATTTAAAGACTTCACGTAGAAAATTAATTATTCTAATATTAAGCGTAATTAAAACTTTGTGTAAAATTTAGGGTTTCATACTTATTTAATATCTATTCATCAGAGACTATATTAAAAATGTGTTTAGTATATTTTTTTTAAATTCATATAAATATCAAGCTTGAAGAAATTTCCTAACATTAAGCCTGAACTGAAAACTACAAAATTCGCATTGTGCAAAAACTAGTATAAGTGTACACTTATATATTTTGACGATTTTAAATGGGGCGTTTTTCTGTATTTAGAATTCAGTTTAAGATTGTTTTCATTAAAATTAACACTTCAAGAGAAACTCTTTTGTTGCTTAATCGCATTATTTTATTTCTCCATATCTCAACTATCACAAGGTATAAGTTTTAAATTTAGAAAGTCGCCATGTTCGATCATTTTCAAATAGTCATTAAATGAATTTTGTTTTTTAAAATAGTTAGAAAAAATTAAAAGTTTCATGTTTTCTAATTTTCCTTCAAATAAGCCACATAAAATACAACGTTTAGATGGCCTGAAACTTAGAATTTTACTTCAACACAAACAATAATATCAATTAATTTCCTCATTCAAAAATGTACTTTGTTTGAATATTAGAACTACAACTTTCTAAAACTATTTCTAAATATTCCAAATATTTATAGATGTGAAATAATTTAAGTATTTTCATAGTTTATTTAAAATAAATCCCTCGTAATTTATATATTTACAGTATCTGAAACCTAAAATTTAACTCAGACAATTTATGAATTAATTTCTTCATTCAAATTTGTCCTTTGCTTTAGAATATTAGAACTTGAGCATTTAATTAAACATTTTGTTGTAAACCAATTCTGAATATTTGAACTGATCAGGGTCTTTGTAAATTTGCTGTTCACGTTCTTTATTTAGTAAACACGTTTTGGCATCGTTTCAATTAAAAAATACCAATTCTTTAACAACTTTTAAAGACAAACACGTGAACAAATTGCGCAGTTTCATCACTTCAACAAATTTTTTAAATATATATCGTTGGAAAAAAGGAGTATTTACTGGAAACACAAAAAATATTGAAAAGAGTGATTCTGTTATACAAAATTGCGAAATTTTATCACCGAAATACATTTTTTTAAATATATATCATTTAAAAAAAGAAAATGTATTTAATGGAAACAGCATGGGTATACATTACTAACACTTGTTTTCAAAGAGAAAAAATGTCAAGTGATTACACTTTACACTTTTCGGTGCTCTTACATAAAAAAATTGCTAAATTTTATCACCAAAATACATTTTATAAATATATATCACATGAAAAAAGGAGAATAGATTTTGAGGAAACAGCATGAGCATGAAGTTAGACCTACCACCAATTATCTAAGTAACAGTTAAAAGTAATACTTACAGATACATAAACAGGCCAAAAAACGAATAGCTGTATCAGGTGGTTCACAGTCCGGATAAATGGGTCGCAAAACATAAAAGGAAAAGGTCAATGCAACTATTGCTTGAGAGCATGGACGGACAATCATGCATTCGACCCATAAACGTAAAAAGGCGACAAATGGGCCAAACGATTCCATGATATATGCATAATCAGCTCCTGTTTTTGTAATCATACAGCCCAGCTCGGCATAGCAATAGGCTCCAACCATCGAAAAAACTCCTGAAGTGATCCATACCACGAGAGATAGGCCAACGCTTCCGGTACCTTTTGAGACCCCTTTCGGGCTTACAAATATTCCTGATCCGATAATACTTCCTACTATAACTGTTATCCCATTTAATAGAGTCATCTTCGGTTTTAGGCAGATGACATCGCTGGCAGGGGGTTTTTCGGTGGGGGATGTTTTTTCTAACATCTTGACGTTTTCTGTAGAGACGGTGTTCGGTGAGTCGGCCATTTCGGAGGGATGTGTTTGGAATATTCTTCTCCGAGTTCTGTGCGTGAAAAGATCTCCCTCATTCGGCTCTTTCTCTGGAAGGGCTGCGCACATGCGCCCTGAAATTTTTTACAACTTGGCGGGTGCGTAGAATGTATTGTGTGGTTGATCGCCAAAGTAAGTGATGATTTGAGGTGGAAAAGTACTTTTATAAATAAAAGTTGAGTGGGAAAAGGTGTTAAGGGATGATTCTTTTATAAAAATATTTTTTTATTAATTTTCTTTGAAAATTAAAATTATGTAATCAAAAAACAAATAAATAAATGTTGAGAAAGAAAAAGATGTTATGAAGTGGTTTCTTTAAGAATAATTTTTTCAAATTAAAACTATATAATCAAAAATTAAAATAAATGTACGTTGAAAAAGAAAAGGTGTTAAAGAATATGGAAAATATTAAAATATTTTTTTTTTTTTAGAGTTAAAATTATATTTTCAAAATAAATATGTAAATATTTAAAAAGAAATTATGCTAAGGATGGTTTATTTATCAAATATATGAAAACCTTTTCACTTATTTTCTTTAAAAACTAAATTATAACCAAAAAGTACATTTAATATTGTTTATTATTTGAATATTATATATTAAAAAATATTATCTATTAAAATGTTTTAATGAATTTTCTCTAAACACTAAAATGTAACCAATAAATAAAATTACTATTGTTTTCAATAGTAAGAAATAAGTTCAAAATTTAAAATCCTAAAAAATTTATTGATTTATACTTTTATGTCAGTTCAAAATTTATCCAAAAAAGGCAAAAGAAGAAGATTAAAATGTTAAGTTGTGGCTTTTTTCCGGAAAAAAATTTTTATACATTTTCTTTAAAATTTAAAAAAAACAAAATCAGAAATCAAAACAGATATATGTTGAAATGGAAAAGATGCTAAGGAATAGTTTGTTTACGGAAAATATTTAAATATTTTTATTTTCTTTAAGAATTTAAATTATATTTTCAAAATAAATATTTAAAAAAATGTTAGAAAGTGATTTCTTATGGAAAATATTAAACGATTTTCATTCATTTTTTGAAAAAAATTAAAACTATGTAATCAAGAATTAAAATAGATAGATATAGAAAAAGGAAACATGTTAAAGATTAATTTGCTCATGGAAAATATTAAAACATTTTTACTTATTTTCTTTAGGAACTAAGTTATAACCAAAATATAAAATTAATATTGTTCATACATTTAAATGTTATAAATTAAAAGTATTAAAATATTTTTGCTAATTTTCTCTAAAAGATAAACTGCAAACAAAGAGTAATAAAATTAATATTGCTTTCAACAGAAAGAAATTAGTTCAAAATTAAAATTCCTAAAATTAATATTAAAATATTTTTATTTTCTTTAAGAATTAAAATTATATTTTTGAAACAAATAAATGAGTATGGAAGAAGAAGCGATGTTAAGGATGGTTTATTCCTTTAAAATATTAAAATATTTTCATTTATTTTCATTAAAAACTAAATTATAGCCAAAAAATAATATTATTATAGTTCTCAATGGTAAGAAATCAGTTCAAAATCTAAACTGCAAAAACTTTTAATGATTTGCACTTTATTTAAGTTCGAAATCCATATTAAAAAAGTACAAGCCAGCAAAGATACAAGACTACAAAAAAATTAATAAATTTTATTTGTCTGTAATTGTAAAATCGAAAATTTTCAAGGTATAAAATTAAAGGGATAACTAAAATTACATTATATTTTTCCTCCAAAAATTAAAATTATATAATCAAAAAGTAAAATTAAAATTCTTTACAATAAATAAAATCAGTTCAAAATCATATTTATTAGAAATTTAATGTTTTATGCTTTTATTTATGTTAAAGTCCAGATACAAGAAGCAAAAGTTAAAAATAACGCAAGCCTATATGAAAAACTTTCAATTTGTTTAATATTTCAAATTCGAAATTGTCTTAGAAAAATTTTAAACAACAAATTTTTATCGAACAAGGCAAAAAATTTTACGGACATGAAGAAAAATTGCATTTTTTTACAAATTAATATTACGTAATCAAAAAACAAAATTAACAGTGGTCAAAATATTACAAACACAGAAAAATTATCTGTAATGATTGTTTCCCTTATTTAAGTTCGAATCTAATTATAAAAGGAAAAAACTTAGAACAATTCAAATTCTATTTGTCTAACTTTTTTAAAATTTCTTTTTAAACTTTTTAAAAAACAAATTTTGAATGAACGAGAAAAAAATTTAGTGAAGAACTAGGCTCATTTAGTAACAAAACTTTAATATAAAAAACAGGGTATATTCTTATCTTTTCGTTATCTATAAGGCATACCAGTGCTCTTAGACGGTGATTTATGATGAAGTACAAATCATATTTCGCGTTTACAGCAATTGGTCATGAGTTCGATCCTGAATCTAAATGACGATTTAGCTGAAGCATTATGCAACAAAGAGCACGTTAAATTTCGTAGCATCGACTACGTCTCAAAGTGGGTAAAAACCATGTTTCGTGCCAAAAAAATCCCAAAAATTGAAGCAGATTTAAATTTATTTTTTGAATGATATTTTTGTAGTAAACGGTTTAGGAAAATACAATGACGAATCTTATTTTGTAATTGAATGAATCAAAACAATATTACAAAAAGGTGCATCATCACAAAATATTTTTATGGTGCGTTTATGGTACACCAATCATTTCAAACCGCTTTTTTATTATACATGGCTCCAACTTATCGTTTAGAGCAATAGGTCACGAGTTCGTTCCTGGATCTAAATGAATATCTAGGTGAGCCAGTTAGTAGCAAGGTTGACATTAAATCTATCATAACTAAAAGCTTTCCCATTACCTTTAATGCGGAAAGTATCATCCATGTCACGCCGTAGGGCAGAAATCCTTTTTCGTGCCTAAAAATCAAAAAATTGAAGTCCTCTCATGGACTGATCGCAAGACACGGTTCCCTGAAGAACGCCGAAGTCAAGCATCAATATCTGCGATCAATGCGCGGGTGGGTGACCACTTTGATCAAGCTACGAAGGGACAGATGATGTGCGGTATCGGACCTCGTTAAACTGTTCTACCATAAAGTGCTCGAACTTGAGTGCAGGTCATTGGGCTACGAAAGCGGGGAAGCCATCCTCTCCAAATAGGATTAAAATTGTGACGGTGTGTTTTCGGATCATCATAAGGGACGTTTCTAATACCGTGCTAATAGCCCATTGTGCAGCTCTAGTGTGACGTAAATAAGCAACTGCAACTGCAAAAAATTGAAGCAGATTTATTGAATGATATGTTTGAAGTGAACCGCCTAGGAAAATACGGTGACAAACTTTATTTTGTAATTAATTATACGAAAACAATAATACAAAAAGATGCACCATCACCAAATATTTTTATGGTGATCGTGTACATTTAGAATATTTTAAAATTAATTAGTAATGTTAATTAATTAATGAAATTAATATTTTTTTTAGATAAAACAGATTTAAATTTATTTATTGCTGAGTGATGTTTCAATAGTAAACCGTCTACAAAATACGATAATTTGATTTGATTTGATTTGATTTATTGCATAAAAACAGTGGCAGCATTCAATTGAAATTAAACTTTTAAAAACATTTTGAGGTTAGTGTTACATATTTTAAGTTTTAAACTATTTGCAGTTATTGAAATTATGAAGGTGGGTCTTTGTTAAATGTTTGTTAAATGCAAAACCTTAATATGGATTTACAAACAAGGTTTTATAAATATTAGCAAAATCATAGACTTTGCATATTTTTGAACATTGAACTAAAATCACATTTTTCAGTAAAATTTGAAGAAGAAAAAATCATGTATATANTTTTAAACTATTAAAAAATTCAAATATACGAATTTAAATATATAATTTTTCTGGGATTCATTATTTAAATATACAATTTGCCTGGGATTCATTATTTGAATATACAAATGCCAGGACTAGGGAAAATTAAATTAGTAGCTTAATTGTTACACAACAGGGCTGTCCCAACATCCTAAAAGGAAGCGTAGAGGTAATATTTTCAAATCCCACCGCAACCCCCTGAAAGCATCTATTTATTTATATTTTTTATTTATGTATTGTTGCACATACATATGCAGGCTTGAATGCTCATTACAAAGTTAGACTTATAAGCCCATGTCAAGTGAAACACACACACGCACGCACGCACACACACACACACACACACACACACAGAGAGAGAGAGAGAGAGAGAATATGTATATATAGAAATATAATAGAATTAGAAATACAATAATTTTAATGAAAAAAAAAGTAAAGTTTATCATCAAGACGGATTCCTCCTCGAGAGACATTTCAAAATTCTGACTAATCACCATAAGATAAAAATTACTCCTTATAATGCGCCTATGCCTCGAAAAAACAAAATAAAAATAATGTAATTAAAAAGGAGTTTAAAATAAAAGAAGAAAATCAAAACACAAACTTAGCAAATAAAATAAATAAAGAAGCCGTTAAAATCAAGTAGACTAATCTTACAGCAATATAATTTGCTTTAAGCTTTATAGTATAAAATAATTAGTAAAAATATCAAAATTTGAGTGCTGATGTCTTTGAAAGAAACATATTAACCCATTTCGTCCTTACGAGACATATACGTCACGGGAATTGTGAGAAATCAAAGAGAATTCTTCTGATTTCACAAAGGACTACTTTCACATCAAGCAAATGTTTTTTATTCGTTTCAAAAATCAAGTAGTAGCTAACAGAAGAAAATATTCATTTACTTAAAAGAAATAATCGCTTTTTTAATAGGAGCTTTTTTGTGTGTCACGGCAGATAAAAAAAAATTCAGGTTGTAGTGTATCTACCACTACAAAAATACAATTCCATTTCACTAGTATATAAGACATGTTAACTTGATTCTGTGATGGGATACCTCATGAGCAGCACACCACAGTACGGTTATCTTAATACAGTTCTCCCGGCTTCTCGCAAAGCAGCAATGAATCCACTATTGGTGTCAGTTCATCGAATTCTATCACAGATATAATTCTGGAGGGGGAGTACTGTAGTGTTTCTACCACTGCAAAAATATAATTCCATTCCACTAGTATATAAGACATGTTAACTTGATTCTGTGATGGGAT